GATTGATAATGGGAGACGACACTGTAAAAACCTCCAAAATGTAGGGAAGTACTTTTTTTGTAAGAAATGCAGCTCAAGTGTAAATTCAAACTGGAAGACTGGGAGACATGGTTGTCAGTGCTCTGACCTGCCAGACTGGGTCCTCCCACTGAGGCTGAGCTCATCCAGAAATCAGCAGTGTCGGCAGAAAAACCAGAGTCGGCAGTTACTTTGAAAAAGTAATTAGTTATACTTACTAGTTACTTCTCCCCAAAAGTAACTGAGTTACTGAGTTACTCCACTATAAAAGTAACTAGTTACAAGTAAAAGTAACTATTGCGTTACTTTTTTGTTTCTCGTCCCGTAATCCCCCCCCCCCCAGAGCGTGTTTCATGAGCTACCATATACAGTATGTATTTGCTAACACAAGACATGGACAAATGTTTCGTTCTGGAACATATCGTGCACTTGACGTGCACATTTTTACCTTTGACCTCAGTGAGTTTGAAATAGTGCCAATATTTCCATCTGGAAAAGGCTGTTTTGCTGCTCGAGTCCTCCTCACTCTCCATCTCTCTCTGTGTGCTGTAAGCACTAAACATCCGCCACTTTGAATGCGTCTGATTGGCTGCAGACGTAATCTCACCATACATCAGCCAATAATTGCTGAGAGGTTATCTCATCCTCCCTTCTCTCATGACAACACGCGCACGAATCCTAACATGAAGTAAAAAAAAAAGTTAATTGTGCGACGCGACTTGAGTAACGTGCAGGAGCGGAGTGTCGGCAATGAAAACGGCGTTATAGTTACAGTCAAAGTATTTGGTTAGATTACTCATTGCTGAAAAAAGTAACAGCGTTAGTAACGCCGTTTATTTCAATGCCGTTATTCCCATCACTGTTAGTCGCAGTCACACAGCTGTTCTCACCAGCATCCTCTCACAGCTGCTTTTAAACAGAGCCTCACAGTTCTCGCCTCGAGCTGCTGTTCATGCAGCAGCCCACCTCCTCCCGCCCGGTCACTGCCTCTTCAGTGATCAGTGCAGAATTGTTAACTTGGCATACTTCGCCTCCAGGGTTTAGGATCCTTCACATGTTCATAATCTTTATAAAAATCCCTCCTGGATTTGTTATGATGTTTTTTCTGCTGAGACCTAATGGGCAAACCTTAATGAACATTTCATGGTCAAAAGCAATATAAATCAGTCCATCATGCGTCTGCCAGGTCAATCATGCTGCAAATATATGCTGCATACAAGGCGACAGATTACAATGCAATCTTTGTATTGAGTCTTTCCAAATTAAATTGCCAAAGGATCAAGCTAAAAACAAAGCTGTAATTGTGTTACAATTCCATGGAAAACATTTTTGGTTGTCCTAGTGGCAAACCTTGTTTTCCCCTAATTCAATATGTTTTGTCTAATCATCCAAATGTTTTTGAGCAGCATTGTTAAAACATTCAATGCTAACATTCATCAATATGTATATTTTAGAACACAAACAATACATATTAACATGAATACGCAAGACATGTTTTTAAAAGCAGTTGGATGAAGAAGGCGCTCATAAACTTCCAACCTCGACTCATTCAATATAAAGAAAAATGCAATACAGAACAAAGAACAATGCCAAACTTATAAAACTGCCCCTTCTCTCTAAAACTTTCAGTTTTCAGCCTTTCAAAAAGTATTTTCCTTAAATTAGTTGTGGCACAGTTGACTCATGTTCTTTGCAATAGTCAAAAAAATCTGGCCCTTCCTCTGGTGATGGCATAGGGAGTTACTGTGGAACACCCATCCATCCATCTTCTTCCCCTTAATCCATTTCTGGGTCGGGGGTGGCAGTCAGAGCTGAACCCAGTCCACATACAGTAGCACCAGCCCCTCACTGATCCTCCTGCAGGTGGTGAGTCCACAGAAGCCTTGAGTTAAAGGGCTAGTTAAAAATTGTAAGTAAAAAATAAAGTAAGATAAAAGTCCCATAATAAAAAGAAAAGGTCTGATGCCGATGGTCACTAGCTAAAAGTCCCGTCACCTCCACCGCTCAGCCAGAGTCCACCTCCGCCAGCCCAGCACCCGACACGAGGCACAGGGGCCTTGGTTATTCAGCAGGGGCTGTGGAATATCATTGCTTACAAACAACACTTGCTCAAGATATAAATAAATAATAAAAATAATACATTCAAAAATAATGCGACAGTAGCTCAGTTGGTAGAGCATTGGCCTTTGAGCCAGAGGGTCGTGGGTTCGAGCCCAACCTTCACCATCGACTCCCACTGTCTGCTGCCGTTGTGTCCTTGGCAAGACATTTAACCTCTGGGAACACCAGCCACAGTGGGGCGGCTGTAAAGTGCCAAACTGCCGTTGTGTCCTTAGGCAAGACACTTCACCCCCTAGAATGTGTCTGAATGGTTGGTGGTGGTCGGAGGGGCCGATGGCGCATACTGGTTGCCTCGCTTCTGTCAGTGTGCCCCAGGGCACCTGTGGCTACAGTAGTAGTTCATCACCACTGTGTATGGAGTGAAAGTATAATGACATGTGAAGCGTCTTTGAGTGTCCAGAAAAGCGCTATATAAAACCAATGCATCCATGGATGGATGGAAGCATCCATCCATTTTCTACCCTTTAATCCATTTCTGGGTCAGGGGGGTGGCAATCAGAGATGCCACCCAAGTCTTATAGCACCAGCCCCTCACTGACCCTCTGCAGGTGGTGAGTCCACAGGAGGACGGCTGCTCTCTGAGTGTGAGCATAGCCTTGATCTTTCAGCGGGGGCTTTGGGCAAAGTGGGGTTAAGGGTCTTGCCCAAGGACACAACGACAGCAGGAGTCGGTGGAGAAGCTGTAGAAGTGGTAAAACCAATGCATTATTATTAAATTCCCCATTACCTTGTCAGTACCCTTCCATAAAAATTAACAATTTGCAATATAGTATAGCAACACAAGTAAAAGTGTTACCAGTTTATTGTCACATTTGGA